ACAGGCACCTTGATCACAGCCTAGGAAGATCCGGAGCAGAGCAGCCAAACAGTGCTTAGGCCCCCGTGGAGACTCTGGGACAATAAATGTGCAGTTGTGACCTGCTACTGTGGTAATTTGTCACGCAACCTGGAAAACAAACACTCGAAGGTCACTCACCTCTTGGACCCTCAATTTCCTCACCTGTTAAATGGAGGAGGTGTGTAGGGTGTGGATCATTTCTAAAAAGTGGTTTTGGAGTAACAACAGTGACAGCAACTAGCCTATATAAAGTGACTGCTGTGGGTCAGGACCTATTGAAAGCGCTTTACATTCATCGATTATGTCATTCCTCATAACATCTTTTTATTTCACACTTATATTTTAGCTATAGGTGGACACAATACCTTTATTTATTTATGTATTTTTTATGTGGTGCTGAGGATCGAACCCAGTGCCTCGTGCATGCTGGCCGAGCACTCTATCTCTGAGCCACAACCCCAGCCCTTATTCCTCATAACATCTACGATTAAGATCCACATTAACAGCCAGGTACAGTGGCCTATGCCTGTAATCCCAACAACTTAGGAGGCTGAGGCAGGAAGATCACAAGTTTGAGACCAGCCTCTGCAGCTTAGCAAGGCCCTAAGCAACTTAGTGAGACTGTCTGAAAATAAAAGGGCTGGGAGATGACTCAGTGGTAAAGCACCCTGGGTTAAATCCCCTGTACCAACAAATAAATACATACATACATAAAGCCAGCTGCATTTACAGATGAGGAAACTGAGGCACAGAGTGGTTGAGTGACTTGAACTTGCCAAACTCACCCAACTAGGACACACAACTGTGATTCTAAGATGGCTGCTGTCTACATTAGATCTACCTTCCTTCCTTTAAGATGACCGCCCACACACACACACACTCAGGACAAACCCAGCCAAGTCCAGGACACCCCTACCCAGGGCCAGGTGCTAAGGTAATGCCCCTTTACAGGCTTAGCCAGGGGCAGGCGCAGAGATGATCTTTTGGACTAGACAGGGCTCAGGGGTGAGCTTGATGGGATGGGCCCCACCTGATATTCTTTAACCAGGTGAGTCCGTTAAGAACTGACCCAAGGCTCAGCCTGCCCCAGAACTTTGCCCCGCCCCGCCCCATGGCAAGCAGCCAGCTGCGGCAGGTGTTGACCACTTCACCCACTGAAAGAATCATTGTGGCACCACCACCTGCCTTTGTCTCTTGGGGTCTGGAACAGAGCCAGACCCAGCTAGGGGGGGGGCTTTTGGTGTGTGTGTCTGAGTTTGCTTAGGACTGGCACTTGGCAAACCCTTGTAGATGTCACATGGATTTCACTTCCCTTAAAGCCACTTCCTCCCCCCCTTGTCATCTTCATGGTCCGTGCCCTCAGCAGTCCACATCCTCCCCAAGGAGGAAGATGTCTGAGAATTCTTCCCACACTGTAGTTCTCTTTGCAGAGAACCCAATTAACAAACAAAAGAAAGCTACAAACCACAAAGAGTGTCTAGTCTTTAGAGGTTTTTTTTTTTTGGTAAGGGATTGAACCCAGGGGAGCTTAACTACTGAGCCACATCTCCAGCCCTTTTTTATATTTTATTTAGAGACAGGGTCTTGCTGAGTTACTAAGTGACTTGCTAAGTGCCTGAGGCTGGCTTTGAACTCCTGATCCTCCTGAGCCACTGGGATTACAGGTGTGTTCCACTGCGCCCAGCTGAGACTAGTCTGCTAATGGTGGGATTTCAGCAGCTTGAGAGATGGCAATCGGGAAGGTTTGGGGACAGACATTTTGGCTTTATCCTCACTATGTGCCCCATCCTTTCATAACCCACGCCCCCACACCCACACTCTGCTCCACACACTCTCCACCTACATTTTGCCACATGCAAGAATGAGAATTAAGAAGACCTCAGAGTCAGGGTTGCAGGGTTCCAATCAACAGCAGACTCCGTCATCCACCTGCTGTGACCTGGCTTTCCTTGGAGGCTCAGTTTCCCCATCTACAAGATGAGGAGGAAATGTGGGCTAGAGCAATGATTCTCAGTTTGAGCTGCTCACTCAAACCACACAGAAAAGTGTGCCAACAACACAGACGTCCATCCCCCACCCCCAAGGTTGATCTGTGGTGTGGCTTAGAGAGCTAATTTTTATAGCTTTGTAACTGATTCTAATGTGAAATGGACTGAATTAATCCATAATTTTTCCTCTTTGGTACTCACTTTTTACCCACTGAGCCACGTCCCTAGCCCTTTTAATATTTTATTTAGAGACAAGATCTTGCTGAGTTGTTTAGGGCCTTGTTAAGTTGCTAGGATTGTCTTTGAACTCCCAATTCTCCTGTCCTTAGCCTCTGGAGCTGCTAGGATTACAGGCCTCCGGCTGATAAACGGGTTGTAGAGTATTTGGAAATTCCTAAGAATAATGAAGATTTGTCCATACCCCCCCCCCCCACCAAAAAATCCCAACAATAGAAAATTTTTAGGTCATCTTTGACTCCCAACAGTTTTTCACTACTCTAAATGAAAACTCCATGGTAGGGAGGGGAACAGTGCCACCTTGTGGTTTTATTTTGCACTTGCAATATCCAAATCATCTGCCATGCAATGCAATATATTTACTTGTTGAATACCAATTCACTGTAGGAGGCATTGTGATGTGCCTTGGACATCAGAACACGCAGAGATGAAAGTTACTTGAACATGAAGCTCACAATCCAGGTACATAAAGCCCTTTGACGTGAGGTCAAGAGGCAACGGGATGGAATACAAGCCTGGGGCCAGGCTTTTGCTGGAGTGTGACCTGTGCTTAGAAGAGCTCTGTGCTTGATTTCATCATTTCCTGTCTCCGTCTTAAAGTAATTTGAACTAGGAGGCAAGTATTTTCATCTTTTTTTTTTTTTAGGCCCCACAAATTATGGAGTTGGTACTCTACCTCAAGTAGTTGAGGAATTTTTGGAGGAGGTGACATCTGACCTGGCTCTGGAAGGCAGGGCAGTAGCGGAGGGAAAACAAGGGAGAAAGGCTATTTTGGTGAGGAAGGAGAAGCAGAGTCCTCGGGCCTTGGTGACAGAGTGTGCTGGGGGAAGGAGATAGAAAGTCTGGTGCTGCAGAGGAGGTGGAGAGGAAAGAAAATTGGCTGTTAGATGATGGAGGCCCAGGTGTAAGGAAGTGCTCCAGGAGGCCCAGGCCAGGGACGGAGCTTTGGGGGTCACAGACTTACAGGTGGGATCAAGGCTTGTAGGATCCCCTGAGAAGACAGAAGAGGAGGACACTGCTGCGTGGCCAGGCCTGGGCTTGCAGGCCCACGGAGGTTCTTGACTCCCAAGGCTCCTTTCTTGAGGAGTGGCAGAGGAAGCCCTTGAGGGCCGGGATGAATGGGCCCTTGAGCCTCGCTCCCCACGGGGTGTGCTACAAAAGCCCTCTTAGCTTCCTTCCGGCTTCAACACCACCATGAGATGCAGTATAAACCCTTCAAGGCAGGCACTCATTTTGGAGACTTTCTTTTTGACCCAGTGCATCCTGTGTTCCTCAGCTAGGATTCAGCTTCAGGGGCCACATGGGATATGAGCAAGATTCTCCCTTGCCCTTCACAGTGGGTTTGCTGATGGTGGATCACAGAATTACTCAGGACTCCAGTGAGTCTAAAAAGCAAACCTAATAGAGATTTGCTCATAAAGGGATTTCCCATAGAGTCTTTTGGGAACTTCCACATGCGGGGGGAGGGGTTTTATAAGAAATGAGCTTTTCCTCAGAGGTCAAGGAAGGGCTCCTGGGTTTGGGTGCTGAGCCCATTTCAGACCAGGTGTCCCTGTTAGACCACCAGGGCTGGTACAGGTAACTGGCACCACCCATGTCCTTGGCACCCATAGCCTAAGCCAGGGTCCTGCCTGACGTTTGTTCATTTTTCCTTCCCTGAGAAGAATGTGGGCAGCCTGGTCAGGAATGGATTGTGCCCTCTTTGGGCTGTGTTATTGCCCACTTATCCCAAGGGCTCTGTCTGGTTATCTGAAGGGCTCCCGTGTTTGTCTCTGTGCCTGGGGTACATTCTTGCCTGAGATGTGGATGTAGCTGTAATTAGTCACTGGAGCTGATAGGTGGCCTCCCAGGGCAGTGACATGGGCTCAGGGATGCCAGTTACCTCTAGAAAAGATCAAAATGGCAGGCTCTCTGCACCACAGAATCTGCTCTGGACAGAGACTGATTCTAGAACAGCAGAGGAATCCCTGATCCTCGGGGCTGCATCCTATCGGGCCTGCAGGAGAAATAACTGGGGAGGTGGTTAAGATGGCAAAGCCCGCCTGCTGCCCCGGGCACTGCTCGGCCACCACAGCTGTGGGCCAGAGAGCAAACACAGGCAAGGGTACAGAGGTGGCTCCAGCCCTGGGGGAGTACAGGGAGTGGCATATTCTGGTGCCCCATAACAGGACCAGTGCTCCAAGTGGATCCAGTGTTCACATGCGACTTTGAGTTCTCTGGGACTTGGCGCTGCCGATCAGATCTGGTACTCTGAGCAAAACCAGTGCTCCAGGGCATGCTGGCGCGATTCAGAAGACTCGCCTCATGGCAGGGTTTGTGAAATTATGTGTTTTCTCTTCAAGTCGGGACACAGATGCCTGGAGGGCAAATGACACAGGCTTGGCTCGGATCCCTCCACCCAGCATGTGAAATTGTGAGAGAAAGGAGAGACTTGGACAGAGGGGACAGGGACCAGACAAAGTTACTGAGGCAGAGATAGATACATAGACAGATAACAGATAAATGATAGAGACAGGGTGATTCAGAGGCAGGAAGAAGAAATAAAGATCGGGAGAAACACGCACACTGAATATGGACAGCATCACTCAGGTCGTGTCTTCCTACATGCCGAAGGACAAGCAAGTGACACTTAAGACTGAGGTTCCCTGGCCAGCTTTCTTGCCCTTTCACAACCTAGGGGCCAGGGAGCAGGACTTGACAGCTGGAGCAGTCGCGGGCACAGGCCTCGGCGGCGGCAGCCGTGCCCCACCTCGCCTACGTCTGGATGAAGAGGTGGAAGTTGGTGCGCGTGAACTCGTGGTGGATGCTCTCCAGGAGCGCGTCGGCGTCCGTGGCAGGTTCCGCGGCGCCGGCAGAGCCGGGCCTGGCGCTGTACTCCGGGGTGTAGGTGAAGGTGAAGGCGCTGGGGTAGAGCAGCCCGTCGGCGCGCACCAGGCTCACGGGCACCGTGATGGGAGTGCGCAGCCAGCGCCAGTCGCTGCCGAAGGCCGCCACGTCGGGCACCACGCACACCAGGGACCTCGGGCTCCTGGGGTGGGCCAAAGGGTCAGGACTACAGGGACTTTGATGGCCCGTGCGCTCCCGTCCCTGCTCCCTCGAGCCGGGGGCCGCCTGCCCGCCCCGCACCTGTACATGGTTTCTGACTCCACGTCCCCGAACCACACCTTGAGCCCCGCGTGGAAGTTCTCTCCATGCAGCTCCAGCGTGGCCACGTCACCCCCGCCGCTGAGCTGGGGTAGAGCGCCACAGGTGGGATGAGGAAGGGGACGGAAGTCGCTGCCCCCCCTCACCAGCTCCCCCACGGTGCCCCCAGTGCCAGGCCACCTCCAGGGTGCTGATGAGCGGCACCGGAGTGACCGGCTCCCGCGGACACGCTAGGCTGGTGCTGAAGGAGAACTCCACCGACTCGGTGCCGATGATCGTCCAGCAAGAGCTGTCGTTGAGCAGCGCCCTGTTGGCCTCCTTGGGGCACGGAGAGGCCTGGGAGGAGACCCGAGGGTGTGGCGGAAGCTTCTGTCCATGGTGGCCACCCTCACCAGGAGCCAACATAGGGCCTGGGCCCCGCCAGGTCCAACGGGTCTACACGCCCTGGAGGAAGCCCTGGAGTCCTCTCACTTAGAGTTAAATAAGTTCACTGCACCCGCTGGTCTCTAATGGCCTTATTTTCGTGGGATTCTATAATCTTAGTCTAATTAATTAGCTTATTTATCTATTTTGGTACTGGAGATTGAACCCAGGAACACTACCACGGAGCCACATCCCCAGCCCTCTTTGTTTTTTCTTTGAGACAGGGTCTGGCTAAATCGCCCAGGCTGACTTCAAACTTGGGATCCTTCTGTCTCAGCCTCGCAAGTGGCTGGGGTTACAAGTGTGTACCACCAAGCCCAGCCTATAATTTCATTTTTTAAACATTATTCAATTTTATACCCTAACAAACTATGACGACTTAAATATTAATTGGAAAGGAATATTGTTCAATAATAATAATAATAATAGTTATTCTCTACAAATTATGATTGTATCTCCCAATAATCTATGATGACATTCTTTTGGGAATAATATTGCTGAATAGTAATTATTATATTCCATACTTTGCAATTCTCTCTTAACATTCTGTGATTCTAATAGACTTTACTCAACAATAATTAATACTATTATCAATTATGATTTTTATTTATGTTCTATAATTTTATATCCTATCACTGTGATCTTAATATTCTTAGGGAAGGAGCATTGCTAATAACAGTAACTATTATTTTTCTACATTCTATGATTCTGTCCTGATAGTCTACAATTCTGACCTCCCATGGCAGGCCTTCAGTAAGCAGCATCCGCGGTGATGATAGTTTATATCACCTCCCCACATTCTCCCTTTTGATGCTCTGTGGTATTCTCTGCTCACCTGGAATTGCACCACCTTCTCTGTGGCAAGGCATAAGTAGGTGCCACCCCCTTCTGGAGGGCCACCTGGAAACTGGAAGGCACACTTGTGCAGTTGAGAGATAGGCTCATCTACGTCGAGGAGAGCACACTGTTTGGCTACTTTGCGGATGATCTGCAACACACGGGTGGTAGGGAGAGTGGTAGCAAGGTGTCCAGGTGACCAGAGGCTGTCTTCCCAGCCAGTTTCTGCTCCTCTGATTGCCATGGTGTCATTGGCAGATACCCACCAACCACCCACTGTTTCCAGAGTGAGAATAGGTGCCTTCATCCTTGGGGTCTCACCATCCCCACCCTGCCCATGTGGGCACTTCCTCTCCATGAATCTGGGGACCCCTTCAGGTACACCCTCCTTCCTCATACCATAGGAGGTAGCGTGATGCCGGTGACTGTGCAGACAAGCTGCACCAGGGAGCCATAGCGGACGTAGCCCTCTCGAGGTGGGAAGTCCCCTTGCGTGGAGTGCTCATCAGCTGGGGGTGAAAGGAAGGAAGGAAGAAGGGTTTCAGGGGCCCCAAGCTTGTGCTCCAAACCCTGCCTTTTTCACCCCTGACCCCATCTCACATCACACTGGGCCTTGCTGGTCTCTCAGGGAAGCTGCTAAACTGAAGGTTCTGCTCCTGGGGAGGTCACATGTGGCCATCATTATAAATGTCTGCTCCTGGGGCAGACACTTGGGCATGGACATTGGAATCAGAATAGCTTGGATCAGTCACTGACTCACCGGGACCCCGGCAAGCCTTTTTATTTCCAAGATGGGATACATAGGGCCAGGTTTACTTTACTTGAGGGGTTGGGGTGAAGGTTGAACAAGTGAATACACATGGAGGGCCTGGCCCTGGGCCTGCTGACATAATTACCCAGGTGGAGCGTGAAGGCAGCCCACTGTCTTGCACTGGCCACAAAGGCCCCATCCTCCACAGAGAGGTAGCGCGTGGACACCGTCTGGGAGCGCAGGCGGTTGAAGAGGGAGACCTTTGAGCCTGAGGATATGCACACTGTGAAGGGAGGTAGAATCAGTGCCCTGGTTCCTTGGACTTGCCACTCAATCTCCTGTCCCTTGTCCCTGTGCCATCCTTTGCCCTGGGTTACCGGTATGTGCCGCAGCACCCAGCCCCTGGCCTGGACACACTGCATTCATATTTCACAGCTATTTATCTAGGGCTTGCTGCAGTCCAGCCTCTGGCCTTTGTCCTCTCCCTTGTGCTCCCTGGGCATCTCATCAAGTCACTCAGGGCCTACTTTGTGGCAGGCACTGTGCTGGGTACTGGGTACCAACATGTCAACTAGTCCTGGCTTTGCTTTGGAAGAGTTCACCATCTCAAGGTCATAATTATACAATGGCAATATGATGTGACGAGGGCTGAGTTATGGATCTTCTTGGAGGAGGTTACACTTGTAGCCAGGGAGCGTGAAGCAGGTGGAGTTACACAGAGGCAAAGACCACGTGGTGTGAAACAGGGGCACGAAGCTTCTGGGGCTTGACATTTCTCTCTTGCAGCCTATCGCACATGCTCAGAGCCAAGCTTTACTTTCCTGTTGGACTTTGACCACCTGGAGAGAAGGCACAGGTGGGTCCTTGGCCAGTTTCTTCTTACAGTGCTGGACAGACTGCAGGTGGTCCGTTTATACTTTGTCCAAGCCCTCCTCAGAATAAGAGGCAGTGTTTATTGTGAGCCAGTACTTTTCCAAATGTTTTAACATGTATTAGCTCATTTGATTCTCTTAACGACTTTCTGAGGTAGACACCACTAGCCCTGCTACAGGCAGCAACCTGCTCAAGATCATGTAGCTCACAAGCTGTACGACAGCTTGTTGGAAACCCAGGCTGCTGAGCCCTGGAATCGGCACGCTTTGGGATCTTTATTTATTTATTTATTTATTTATTTATTTTTGGTACTGGGGATGGAACCCAGGGGAACTTAACCACCGAGCCACACCCCCAGCCCTTTTTTGTATTTTATTTAGAGACAGGGTTTCACTGAGTTGCTTGGCACCTCACTAAATTTCTGAGGTTGGCTTTGAACTCAAGATCCTCCTGCCTCAGCCTCCCCAGCCACTGGGATTACAGGCAGGCGTCACCGTGCCTGGCTGGAATCTGCTGCACTGTCAACCATCACACTGTGCCACCACCCTCCCTGGCTCTCCCATGATGCCAAGGGCCTGCCAGAACACTGCCTGGATCTGGGCATTCTGCACGCTTTGTTGTGCTGATGTTTTCTGGTGCTGGGGATTGAACCCAGGACCTCATGCAGGCTAGGCCAGCACTGTACCCCTGAAGTAAACCCCCCCAGCACATTTTTGTTTTGTTTTGAGACAAGGTCTCACATTGTTTCCCAGGCTGGCCTCAAACTTGCAATCCTCCTGAGTAGCTGGGTTACCGATATGCGCCACAGCACCCAGCTCCAACTATTTCTTAAGTGAATGGGTAAATATTCCAAACCCAATGTTCTTCATTTTCCATATAGGAACAATGATAGGAACTACTTCACAGGGACACGGTGAGCATCAGACAGGGTGAGGTCAGTAGTCACTAGCTCAGAAAGCCCCTCTCACTCCCTTCCCTCCCAGCCATGGGAGTAGGGTGTCATGGTTATTCAGACACGCCCCTCCCAGCCTTTTCTTAGAGCTCCTGCCTGGGATTTGCCACTTGCCATCAGGACACTATGTATCTCAAATTGCCTCTGTGATCCACGGTGCGTGTCTCCCCTGCAAGGCTATCTTTCCTCTAGAAAAAGACACCTGTCTTATTATATACTATCCAGCACTACTCAGCACAAAGTCAGGCAGACAGCAGGCACTCCATACTTATTTTTTAAGATAGGGTCTCCACTGTGTTGCCTAGGCTAGTCTCTAACTCCTGGACTCAAACCACCCTCCTGCCTCAGCCTCCTGAGTAATTGGGATTATAGGCACACGCCACACCCTGCTCCACAAATACTATTAACTGAATTTTCTCTGTCACTTTATTGCCATCCCCCTGGCTCCCAGTGCTGGGAACTGAGGGGCCTAGCACAGGTAAGCACTGAGTACACCCCAAACCTTCCTATCTCACTTTGAATCTGTCCCTAGATTGCCAGCCGCAGTGGGTTTTGTCTGTTCTGAGCACCGCTCTCATCCCACTCCCAAAGCTTATGCGTCCGTCCCCTTTCCTCAGCCTTTGCTCCCTACATCTCCAGGCCTAAGCGGCACCCACTCATCCAGACCAGACCCCCTCTCGCCTGGACTCCGCCCTGGTCACTCGGATCCCACACCTACATCTCGCCCCACGCCCCCCATCACGTCCCTCTCCCAATTCAGCGGCTCTTGACTTGCTGGCACCTCCCGCCCTGCCTCGCCGTCGGGCCCCTCCTCGGCTCACGGTCGGTGTTTTTCAGCGACTGCTTCTTTTGCGACGGCTTGGAGATGACCTTGATGAGGCGACTGTGGAAGGTGCCCAGCTCGCGGCCCCCTCGCAGCACCAGCCGCAGCACCAGCCGGAAGTGCTTCCTCTTGTCGGCGTCGGAGATGTACAGGGTCTTGGCACAACCGAATTCCTACAGGCTCGAGGCATGGGGCCGTCACATCCCAGCCCTCCAGCCCAGCCCCCCCCCCCCTTATCTGACGTCCGGCCCATCGGAGGTGACAAGAGGCTCCAGGGGCTCGGCCTCTGACCTCCCGACCTCCAGACCTCCCGCCTATCTCTTGGTTAGGAAGGAGGCTCAGGGGCTCCTCTCCAGAAAGGCGGGGATGGAGCAGGAACCGGGCTCCCTCCTGTGCACTCTCACCCTGGAGTCCGGCTGCTCCTCGAAATTCAGCTTCTGCGTCTCGGCCGCGCTGCCGGACGCGCCGTCCAGTCCCATGTAACCACACACTGTAGGCCCGGTCTCCCCCGCCTGGTGGGCTGGACAGGGACGCGAACCGGCTCTAAAAGGCCTCAGGATCCCGACTCAGGCGCCCGGCAACCTTAGCTTTCACCGCCAGAGGGCGCAGCGAGGCTGCGCCGGCGAACCGTCCCGTTCCCAGGCCCAGAGCGCAGTCCTCCCTGCAGAGACGAGCAACCCGCGTCCCCGGAGGGCGCCCTCACCTTGACCCTGCACTGGCTTCACCCTCCAGCCGGGACCCGCGAGGTAGACACAGGGCGGGGGGCAGAAGAACCTACGGAGACAGGAGAGTGCCGGGTTCGTATCTCCGCTTGCCTGTCTGGTAAGCATCACCAACCCACCCAGCCCTTGATTCTGCCTCCCTTTCTCCCCTAGGCTCCTCCATTCCTTGAACCCCATTAAGGTCGGAACTTTCTTTTATTTACACCCCTTACCCAATCCATCTGCAAGTACCCCCACTCCACCTTCAAAACCTCCGGAATCCACGGGCTTCTTACCACCTCCCACCCCTGCTCTGCCTGCACCACGCATCTGCCTTCCAGCCAGCCTCTCTGCTGTCCTCCTGCACCCTTCAACTTATTTTTCATACAGCAGACAGAGTGCTTTTTTAAAAAAAACATGAGTCAAATCATGTTACTCCTCTTCTTGAAATCCTCCAGTGGCTTAAAATGCTAAGTCCTCACACGATCTGGCCCCTGCTTACCTCTCCAACTCTTTCCTATAACTCCCCCCCTCTTCCTCTACCCCCAGCCATTCTGCCTTCTTTTGTGCCTCGAACATAGCTGGTACAGCCATAGGGTCTTTGCATTATTTTGTTCTTTGTAGTTGGAACATTCTTCCCTTGGATTTCCTCATGGCTGGTTCCATCTTAACATTCGAGTCTCCTCCTTCATCTTCCAAGCTAAAGTAACCTCGCTTCAATTTCTGTGACATTACTTTGTTTTATTTTCCTTTTCACTTTCTCCGTGATCTGGAAATATCTTATTTGCTGACTTGTGGGGAGGTTATAGTTTGTCTCTTCACATTAGAAGAAAAATACCATGAAGCAGGGACTGTGTCTTGTTCCACTGTGTGCCCAGTGCCCAGCAGAGTCTGGCACATGACAGGCACTCCAAAAGTGGCTGAATGGATGAAGAGTGGAGTGAGAGAGTGCAGATGGGAGAGTCACGAGGTTCTGCTATAGACCAAAGTCGGGGGCATGCTGGCGGAGGGACAGGTCCCCTGATCAGTCAATAACTGAGGTCTCAGCCCTAAGTCCCCTGGCAGGAGGGCAGAAGGGTGCATGGGGCTGATAGCCACAGGGAGCTGGGAGGGCCACTGAGGCACCTACCGCTTCTCATTTCCGTATGATTTCTGGGCCACCTTGGCATGTAGGATCCGCACTGTCTGTTCGCATCCTTGCTGCAGACACCTGCACACGCCTTCCCTCAGGATGGTGGTGCACTCCGGGGAGGACCTAGGAGTGGGACAGGCCCACAGCAGGGAGAGTCATGGGTGGGTGGCACATAGCCCACCACTCCGGTTGAGTAAAATGAAGCAGGGCAGGGGTGGAATTGGGATGGGGCTACTATACATTCTGCTTCCTAGGGATCAAGGTGTTGGGGGGGAGTGTTAGGCCAAGGAGAGGACTTGGATGCAAGTTGTGGGCTAACTTTTTGGACTTTGAGATACTCAATGAAGCATGCATGGGGCCCACTGGGACCACCCAGGTTCCACTCTATGAGTCTGGCTTCCTGCCTGCCCCTTGGCATTCTGGGGCCTCAGAGAGACACAGCTGTGACACAAAGGCCCCACTTATGCTGGCCTTGAGATGGGGTATGTGGGACTGGTCGTTAAGCCTCCCCATTCCAAGAGAATGCCAAAGGGAAATACTGGAACTGGGCCCAGAGTGCTGCTCTCTCACCTCCTGCCAGCAGACTCCACAAACATGAAAAGCACCCCCAACTCTGTCCCGGGATGGGGGCCAGCTGAGATCTTCTATGCCCAAAGCAACATTCCTCTCTTTCTCCCATGAGAAGGGGCCTAATGCCATGCGGGCTTTCCTTTCCTTGATTACAGGGAATCAAAGTCGATTACACTGGCGCTGCAGGATAAGCCAGGTCAGAGCCAGGGGTTTCTGGTGGCTTCGCAGCATGGGGGTTTGAATGGGTGAGGGTGGGTGCACCCAAAACCTGCCCCATTGCAGGGCGCATGTAAAGGAGTCTCTGGTGGGAGAGAATTTGAGAACTAGCAAGCTGGGGCCCAGAGAGCCACTATCCCTGAAGCTGTGCGTTTGAGCCTTTTACCCTCTTGGTGGGACCCGAGTCAAGGCCTTTCCTCACTCCTGGAAGGGACAACGGAGGGCAAGAGTCGGGCGGGCCCTCGGACGTCGGGCCAGGCAGTCGGGCGGCCAAAGCCAGGACCGCTCCGCCTCTTGGGGCTCTCCTCGGGGAAGTGCCTCGTAGGCTTCCAGCGCATTCCGGCTGCGAGTGTCGCCGCCCGTCTCCAGCTGCAGCGGAATTCCGGCCCGGCAGCTCGCGCCTGCAGCTCCAACCCGGCAGGGACAGGGGACGCTGCGCTTGCCCCGCCCCAGTCGTCAGGGGAAGGGGGGATCGCTCCCTGCCAGTGGGAGGGTCGCCACCCGCGCTCCCCCTCCCCACCCGCCAGCCTTGGGTTAAATGCGGCCGCCGCCTCTGCTCGCTCCAGCTGCCTGGCAGTCCCACCTAGGGCGCGCTGCCCACGTCGTTACCTGGTCCAACTGCCCGCGAGGCTCCGCCCGTCGGCTCCGATCTGCGGCCGCGCCTCCGAGCTGTCCGGCAGGCTCAGGTGAGTCAGAGGGCCCGGGGGCATTGAGGGTTCTGCAGGGGAGCGGGTGTCGAGCCCGACCCCGAGACCGCAATTAACCCAGGAGGCACCGCCACGGTGCCTAAATCTGACCTGCAGTGACCTTTCCCTCTTCGGTAGGGTCCTTTCCAAATCGAGTCTCCACGAGAAAAGCCGACAAAAGGGGAGCACCCTTTCCCTAATCTTCCACCTCCAGGCCCAGGCACCGAGGTGTTCAATCTTGGGACCCTGAAAGAGTTTGCACAGACCTTCCTCCCTTGCAAGTCCACTTTCCCCAATCTAAGTGCATCAGCCAAACTTTCCCTTTAACCAAGGATTAACTCTTCAGAGGAGTCCTGGGCTCTAGTGTCATCCAGGTGACCACGTTTCTGTGACATTGGGTGAAGACCCCCATGGTCCTCTCTGGGCTTAGTTCTTTCTGTAGGCTGGGGGTAGGGGGCTGGGTGAGTGATGGGCTTCTCCACAGTCCCTATTTGGACTTTCTAGGATTCCTGGGGTTGAGGCAGAGCCAAGTGTATGTTGGCTCAGGTCAAGAGTAGGATAAGGGGACCCTCATCAGGATTTGGGGCTCCAGAGGCAGGTAGGAAGGGTTGGAGAATGGCAAAGGGCCCTCCCGCTTTTACCCACATGCTACCCAGAGATCCTATCCTCTGCTGTGACCCAAGCAAGAGAAGACACTCCCCACCCTCTCATCTCCACCAGCAGCTGCAGATCCAAGGGGCACATTTAGCTTAGTCACCCTGTCACGGTGGGCCCTGCCAGAGAGATTGTTGTTCCTCCACTAGGCCTGGAAGGCGAAGGGGGAGAAGAATCCCAGGCGGGAAAGCCTTCTGGAGCGATCCTCAGGCCCTGGCCTTGCTCAGAATAGGCCCATTCATGGAATTGGGGGGTGGGGAGTTGGATTAGGGGGGGTGGCCCTCTCTGCCAAGAAACAGCAACAGAAAAATGGCTACTGCAGTCTCAACTTGGGGCGCAGGGGTGGGATAGAGAAAGGAACGGAAAGAGGTGTAACGACTCCTAGGCCTCGGGGAGCTAGGCAGCTTAGGAGCCAGCCGGGAGCCAGGATCCCTGGATTCTAGTCCTGCCTTGCAGCTCAGCGGGCTGTCTTCCTGGGACTCAATTTTTCCATGGGTTCAAGGGGGTGGGGGGTCCTTCCGTTATTCTCAAGGGATGTCGTCGGGGGCCACTGGAGGGCGAGGGCTCACCTGATGCCCCCATAGGGTCCATGGCCACTCTGCAAGGCCCGGGCTGATCTCTCGCTGCCCTTGGGCACGTCCAGTGCCACCGTCCCCGGAACTCTGCACAACTCTGCTCCCTGAGCCTCGTGCGGGATATATTCCAGGCAGGTCTTATCTCCAAGGCTCGGGCTCCTGGCCGGCTGTTTGCTCTGGGCAGGGACACCTGCTGGGCAGATGTGGGCTTCCCACGGCCACTAGACCGCCGCAGCCAGGCCCGACGCCCCCTGGCGGCCTCTCCTGAGAGCAGGCGGGGAACCGAGGCACGGAGGCCCTGGTTGTGCGTGGTGGGCTTTGGCCGGATCACTGCCCACCACCCCCACACTCGAGCCTGAGAAAGGGGCGGCCCTTCCGGCGCCACCTGCGGTTGGGCGGTGTAGGGAAAAGGACTCGGGTTTGCAAAGACGGCCATACAGAAGCTCCTGTGTGCGGAGGGGAGGGCCGAGGAGGTGAATGGTTTCTGTCTGCTGAGGTTCGCCTCTTGGGAAAAGAGGCACGGAGCCCTCCGGCTGGCTCCCAGAACCAGACAGACTAGGGTACTATCCTGGCGCAGCCACTTCCTTGCCGCATGACTTTGGGCACCCGGGCTTGACTTCTCTATGCCTATGTTTTGTCCTCTGTGCAGTGGGGTCAACAGCAACCTTGGTGTTAGAGCTGGAGAGAGGATTACATGGTACAGCGCGTGAAAAGCATTTAACGCTGTACCTGGTATTTAGGAAGGCCTTTTTCTTTCAAAATTTTGTATATTTAAGCTACTATTTATTTATTATTCTGCTATCCTACAAAGTATAACTTTCTAGAGTTCTACAAAGAATCTCTTGTGTTTCCCAGCAATCCCAGTGTGATGACGTGTGTGTGTGTGTGTGTGTGTGTGTGTGTGAGAGAGAGAGAGAGAGAGAGAGAGAGAGAGAGAGAGAAACGTTTGGACCATACACAAAAATAGAGATTAGTAAAATAACCCATGACCCTCTCCTCTCCCCTTCAAGTATCCATTCCCCAGAATAAGAGCTCTGTCAATACTATTGCTTTTCTATTTACTGTCTCCCTCCAGGCTCTGACATCTTCTCTGTCCCCCAAGCAATATGAGAGGCCTTCTTTGCTGGCCACTGGCCACGTTGCTGCTCCTTCTCCAGCCCTGGGAAACCCAGCAGCAGCCCGCAGGTGAGCGGGTGCCCCGCCCTCAGCAGCGGGAGGAGGAGAAGAAGCTTCTTTTGCAGCCAACTGGGGGGTGGGGAGTGGAGGGGAGGGGAAGGGGTGGGGGGAGAAGCCTGAGCCGGGAAACACTCACTGGGTTTGAGATTCACACTTCGCCTGCCTCTCTGGGTCTCACCTCTAGGATATGGCTTAGTTTTGGGTTCATGCAGAACTGTCCATTCAGGGTTTGATTTTAAAAAACTTATTGAAAACATGGAAAAATCAGGAGATTTCACACACAAATTTTGATTTGGGATTTCTTTTTTAAAAAAATCCAAGGACCTGATAATATTCGATCCTTGTGAGCACATGGCAACTTTTGGGTGGAGCTGCTCGGTTTAGGAGGAATAAAGCCGCGTGTCCACGGCCCTAAGCCAGCCAGTTCATTCATTTTTTTGTTGCCTGCCTGACCCTTATTGGCATTTGAGTTTTCAACACTCCTCCTCGCCCTTTCCTTAATGGATAATGCCTTCCCAGAGTAGCCCTCAGAAGTGTCCATGGGAATGTGTGCAATCTCCTAGCCCAGTTTCTCAGCAAATGCTGGACGAAGGAGGGTGTTTAACCTGCCTTTGCTAGGTTAATGCTATGCTGGGCACTGCTGCACCGGAATAGCAGCATTTCTCTTGGGTTTCCCGGGGTGGACGTGTCTTTTTGGAGGTAAGACTTTGCTAACCTAAGAAAGTCCTTCCTGATCTCCACTGTAGGTCCCAAGTGCCATACTGGGCCTCTGGACTTGGTCTTTGTGATCGACAGCTCCCGCAGCGTGCGCCCCTTTGAGTTCGAGACAATGCGGCAGTTCCTAGTGGGCCTCCTCCGCAGCCTCGACGTGGGGCTCAACGCCACGCGTGTCGGCGTGATCCAGTATTCGAGTCAAGTGCAGAGCGTCTTCCCGCTGGGCGCCTTCTCGAGCCGCGAGGACATGGAGCGCGCCATCCGCGCCCTGGTGCCACTGGCGCAGGGTACCATGACTGGGCTGGCAATCCAGTACGCCATGAATGTGGCCTTCAGCGAGGCAGAAGGGGCGCGCCCGCCGAAGGAGCGCGTGCCGCGCGTCGCTGTCATCGTGACCGACGGGCGGCCGCAGGACCGCGTGGCCGAGGTGGCGGCGCAGGCGCGCGCTCGCGGCATTGAAATTTACGCGGTGGGGGTACAGCGCGCCGACGTGGGCTCCCTGCGCGCCATGGCGTCGCCCCCGCTGGACGAGCACGTGTTCCTGGTCGAGTCCTTTGACCGTATCCAGGAGTTCGGTCTGCAGTTCCAGGGCCGGCTGTGCGGTGAGCGGGAGGGCGCTGGAGCGAGGCTCCAGTTCTCTTTCGATTCTTGTTCCCTCACAGGGAGTCCTTTCCCATCCCGGCTGAGGGGAGTGGTTCACCATGACCTTAGGGTCAAACTCCAACACCAAATGCCTTCAACAAGAATTACTGTCCCTCAAAGCTGAGAGCAAGGCCAGGCAGCAGTCCTGCCCCGCCCACCTGGTTTTGGCCCCTCCCACTCAGTTTTACTATTTCCACTAACGCTGCGGGGTCTGGGCATTCTGAGTTGTTCTGCCCACTGTAAGCGCTTCTCTGCGCCGTCCTCACCCCTGGGTGGCCCTGCCTATCCTACCGACACGTGGGTCCGGAGCCTCTCTCTGTGTCTGTTCATAGGAGCTGCTCAAGCTCTCCTCTTTCCCTAAGCCCTCCCACCTGGACAGACCCCCTCACATCCCACCCAAGGCCTTACTTGAGGATGGTGCTGCTCTGACCGCACCCCATCCAGCTCTCTCATTGGAGGCTTTTGCCCTTCTGGCTCCTGCTGATTCTAATGCTGTGTGTCCTTAGGGAAGGACCTGTGTGCTGAGTGGGGACACATCTGCCAACACCAGTGTGTCACAGCTCCAGGAACGTTCTACTGCGCCTGCAACTTTGGCTACAAGCTAGCAGCAGATAACAAGAGCTGTTCGGGTGAGAACTACCCCGCCTGCCATCTCACTACTCCCGAGCCTTCTTTGGCTCTGTGTAGCTCCAGAATTGGTGGGAACGAAGGAGTTTGAAGGGAAGTAAAAACTGGCCTCTTTCACCTTAGAGGCCCAGGGAAGAGGAAATCACCAGGTCCTGGTGGGACCAGGGCTAAGAATCTTGACCCTGCAGTTATAAGCTACTTTCTGTAGCCTCTTTTCCTTCTTTTAGCCCAGTCTCCTACCTCACTCCACCTCCCCAAAGTGTTTCTGTCTCCTCCCCATGTCTGTTACTTAGACACTGTTGGGGTCCTTAACAGTTAGATAGGGGTCCCCCCACATGCTGCTCTTCCTGCCTCTGCACCTCAGCTGTTTCTGTGGAGCTCACCTGGGCAGCCTTTACTGCTCCCCTCCGCTTCCACAAACCTTTCCTTCCTTTCTTCTTTTCTTCATTGGAACCAGGGATTGAATCCAGAGGTGCTTAACCACTGAGCCACCTCCCCAGCCCTTTTTATTTTGTAGTTAGAGACAAGGTCTCACTAAGTTGCTGAGGCTGGCTTTGAACTTGTAATCCTCTTGCTTCAGCCTCCTGAGTCTACACATCTTTCACGACTTTGTTCTTCATTTTTTTGTCTTCTGAAAACCTCTGGCACATGATTCCTTGCTTACACGATTGGGTTTTTCTTTGTGACACGTTCAAGGGTCTACTCTTGTGATGGTAACTGTTGCTATTTCCTGACTGCTAGGTTAGTATGAGGCATTATGCTAGGAGGACTCTAAACATTAGCTCTCAACCTCAGAGTGACTTGGAAGAGGAGATCATGTGATCCCAATAACCCAGATGCCACCTGGGTTTCTAGAAACTTTTTAAAGTCTGGTTTTAACACCCCATTTGAGGACTGTGAACATTCAAATTCTTCTGCTGCATTCATTAGATTTTGGGTCCTTTCTCAGTTTTTGACCCTGTACATACTGTTCTTGTGTCATGAATTTAAATCAGCCTCTTCTTTGGTTTATAGGCTTGTGGGCATGCAAGTGTGTGTGTGTGTGTGTGTGTGTGTGCGCGCGCGCGCGTCTATGTGTATATCCATTTTACTAAAGAATGACTGCCAGGGATGTGATTACATTTATAAAGTCAAAAATGAGAAAGAAAAACTCCATTGTTTATAATTGAATGTGTGATGCCCTTATTCCTAGAAGCCCTCAGACAGCCCACTGCAGGGACTTTTCACGGGCACCTTCAGCCCACAGAACTGCTGATCTCCAAACCATCTCTTGTGTTCTTTTTCTTCAAGGCACTTTCCCCCTTTCCAGCGCTAATCTGCCATCCTCACACCTCCAAACCATCCAGGTGCTGAACAGGGCAAGAGCCTTCTTTTAGCAGAAGGAAACTGTACACAACAATTGCCATCCTCCATTATATTCCCATTTTGCAGAGGGGGAAATGGAGGCTCAGAGAGGTCAAGTGGCCATGCCTTGTCCTCCCCTGTAAGTCAGTAGTATCTGGAGGACAGGGGCCCTGCCTTCTATGACTGTGGCTTCTCATTCTCAAGACTGGCTCAGTAATGGGCACACTGGCTCTGGGATGTGTCCAGTAGGGAGGGTTGCCTGGCACCAAGGAAGGAGGCTAATACGTATAGAAGTTATAGGTGCCTGGGTGCCCCTGAGACTAACTGGTCTAGGTCTTTGGGGTTGGGGTCCAGGCATGGGTATTCTTAACAGGCTCCCTGGTGTTAATGCTGCTAGGGCTGAGGAGTGCGGTCCTGGGCCAAAGCTGACCCCATCTCATCCTCAGCCATAGACCTGTGTGCTGAAGGGACCCATGGCTGTGACCACCACTGTGTCAGTTCCCCGGGCTCCTATTTCTGTCGTTGCCGAGCAGGCTTTGTTCTCCAAGAGGACCAGAGGAGCTGCAGGGGTGAGTAAGTCCCAGCTCCTGCCACCCACCGGCCCCCTGGACCGAGGCCTCTGGTGGCTCTGATCAGAAAGGACATCCTGGTGTTTCTTTGTCCCCTTCAGCCATTGACCACTGCAGCTTTGGGAACCACAGCTGTGAGCACGAGTGTGTCAGCACTCTCGGTGGGCCACGGTGTCGCTGCAGAGAGGGCCACGTTCTGCTGCCCGACGGGAGGACCTGTCAGGGTGAGGGCGTCCTGCATTTTGGGGAGGGGCAGGAGACCTTATCTGGCGCCAGCACCCTGACTCATCCTGTCTGTCTCTCTTTTAAGTCAGGGACCTTTGCAATGGTGTCGACCACGGCTGCGAGTTCCAGTGTGTGAGCGAGGGGCTGTCCTACCGCTGCCTGTGCCCAGAGGGACGGCGACTCCAGGCGGATGGCAGGAGCTGCCTCCGTGAGTCAAGGGTGTGAGAGAGCTTGGTCTGCTTCTGCCCCCTGCCCCCTGCCCGTCCTGAGCACTGTTGCTTTGCATCTGCTGGGGTTCAAGGACGTGTGGTGTGCCTGTTGGGGGTGGGGGTTCCCGCGCCCTGTCTCCCAGCCTTCTCCTCAGTCTTCTTTCCTGCTGCCAAGGTTAACTTAGGAATCTGTATTGGATCAAATTCTTCCTTGGTTTAAAATCCCTCTGTGGCTCGCCAGTGCCTACAGAATAAAGATGCAATACCTTACCCCTGAGCTTTTCAAATGGCGAGTACAACCACATTAGTGGATGATGAAATCAAATTAGTGGTTTAAAACCAGCATTTAAAAAGGAGAATGGATGGGAAAAGAGAGTTCCCTGCATGTAGAAAGAGTAAGTATTGTTTCACGAAACTTTAGTTACATGAAGTGCGTCATGATGTAGTATTATTATTATTGTTTTTTTTCTTACTGTGGGTTGTGGTCAAAATTTTGAAACTACCACTTAAGTCATCACAGTCTGGCTTCAGCCAAGCCCATCAGCCTGTCTCCTGCCACATGCAGACATTTTAGTCATGCTGGCCTGCCCCTTCCTCAATGTGTTGAGAACTTTTCAGCAATCATGCCTCTGCATTGCTGTTCCCACTTTCTAGACTATTCTATCTGCCTTGGCAAACTCCATCCTCCTAGTCCTTCAAGACTGTCCTGGTCCATATGGGCTGCTATAACAAAGTACCATAGACTGAGTGGCTGTCTTCATCTGCTTTGTGTTGCTATAACAAAATACCCATGGCTGGGTAATTTATAAAGAAAAGAGGTTTATTTAGCCGACAGTCCTGGAAAGTCAAGACATGGTGCTGGCATCTGCTTGGTTTCTGATGAGAGCCTTCCAACTGATGGCATCATGTGTCAGGAGCTTTTATGAGAGTGCTGGTTGGGCAGGTGGAGGAGATCAAAGACATGGGGTGGACTTATTTTATAACTATTTGCTGTCAATGATAATCTAGTCCCTTGAAACCCTAACTCATTCTGTTGAGAGGGCATTCATCCCTTTCTAGGGTGGTGCCCCCGTAACCACATTACCTCCTACTAAGCCACACCCCATCAGGGTTCCACTGCCTCCCAATATTGTTATATTGGGAGGCCAAGCTTCCCGTACCTGAACTTTGTGGGACAAACCATATCCACCCCACAGCAGTGGCTTAAACAACATTTATTTCTCATAGTTCTGGAGGCTGAGAAGTTCAAGACCAAGGCGCTGGCAGATGCAGTGTCTGGTGAGGATCTGCTTCCTGGGTGGTAGATAACATTTTCTCTCTAGGCCCTCACATGGTGGAGGAGAAGGAAGCTCCCCTGAGACTCTTATCAGACACTGATTCCATTTCTGAGGGCTCTACCCTCATGACCTCATCTAATCCTGATTGCCTTCTGAAGACCCCAGCTGTTAAGGTCATCACACTAGGGGGTGGGGAGACACAATGGTTCAAGGCAGAAGAAAGATCAAGTCAAAAGCCATCACCTCCATGCAGCCTTCCTCAACCCCCAGGAAGGAGGAATTGCCCCCGCCCTTCCCCTCTATCTAGAACCTTCCTCAACGTAGCAGATGGCACGTCTGAGTTGCTCTGCTCTAGCCTGATTGCCTCATGGATTGGGATTACGTTTTCTTTGTTGAACCTCCTCAGCGGCCAGTGATGTTCCTGGTTCTGAATAGACAGGGTAGGCGACACTGTAGAGCAATCAGGAGCAGGAGTTTGGGGGTCAGACAGACCTGGCTTCAAGTCCCAGCTCAGTGACTGCTAGCTATGGAATCTGAGGAGATCCCACTCTATCCTCCAGAACCTCAGGTTATAGAAAATGGGGATAAAACTCAAGGTGATCAGGAAGTTTGAGAATATACATATGGTATTGAGGACACACACACACACAATCAGCCAAGTGCCTGGTACACAGTAAGCTGTCAATAAATAATGTTTTTATTAATACTGGTGTGGTGCTTAGAATTGTGCCTGATACATAGCAGATGCTCAGGAAAGGGTAGCAATTGTGGTAATTATTATTATCTTTTAAAAAGAAGCTTTGCTGGGCATAGAGGTGCATGGCTGTCATCCCAGCTTCTCTGGAGGCTGAGGCAGGAGGATCACAAGTTCAAGGTCAGCCTGGCAACTTAGACTCTATCAAAAAGAAAAGAAAAAATTTACTCCTAGTTACTCAGGAGGTTGAAGTAGAAGGATCCCAAGTTTGAGGCCAGCCTAGGAAGTGGCGGCATTTCTGTCTCAGAAAAGGAGGGGCTGGAACTTAGCCCAGTGGTAGAGAGCTCCAGCTTTCTGAGGCTCTGGGGTCAAACCCTAGTACCGCCCCCCACCCAAATGATGTTGGTGATTTACCGTACTGTCAGGCACAGCTGAACTCGGTCAATGTGTTATAAAGTGAATGAATGGCCAGGTGGGTGGTGGTGGCGGTGGCAGTAGTGGCCATGGTTGTTATCATGATTGCTATTGGTAGTCAAGGACTGCCCTCTCCATCCAAGCCTTCTGGCTGTGCAGGGTGCCGGGAAGGCCACGTGGACCTTGTTCTGCTTGTGGATGGCTCCAAGAGTGTGCGCCCACAGAACTTTGAGCTGGTGAAGCGCTTCGTGAACCAGATCGTGGACTTCCTGGATGTGTCCCCTGAGGGCACGCGCGTCGGGCTGGTTCAGTTCTCCAGCCGCGTGCGCACCGAGTTTCCGCTGGGTCGCTACGGCACCGCCGCCGAGGTGAAGCGGGCAGTCACGGCTGTCGAGTACATGGAGCGCGGGACCATGACCGGCCTGGCGCTTCGCCACATGGTGGAGCACAGCTTCTCGGAGGCCCAGGGTGCCCGGCCTCGCGCCCTCAATGTGCCTCGAGTCGGCCTGGTCTTCACGGACGGGCGCTCCCAGGATGACATCTCAGTGTGGGCAGCGCGCGCCAAGGAGGAAGGTGGGCTTGGCTCGGGGGAGACTGGGCTGGGGTGCGGAGGGCGCGAGGCCTGGGGCGCCCCCTGAGTCCGCCGGTCCGGTAGGCATCGTCATGTACGCCGTGGGCGTGGGCAAGGCCGTGGAGGAGGAGCTGCGCGAGATCGCCTCGGAGCCCGCGGAGCTGCACGTGTCCTACTCCCCGGACTTCAGCACCATGACGCACCTGCTGGAGAACCTCAAAGGCAGCATGTGCCCCGGTGAGCACCTCCACCTCTTCTTCCCTCCCCTCACTCTTCCCCACACCAGAGGGACAGCGAGGGGTGGGCTCACCAGGCACAGCCTGGCTCCTTAAAGCGTGGCCCTCCACCGCCGCAGGGCAGGCACCTGAAGGCTTGTTAGAAACGCAGTAATTCTAGGCAGTCTCCAGACCCAGTGAATCACCGTTGGCCCTTTAACAAGACAAAGCCGAAGAAGCACTAAACTAGGTCACCTTTCCCCCAGATTAGCAGTGTTCAGAATAATTTGGGAAAACTTTCAAAGGCACGCCAAATTTAACATTTGTAAGTGGAGCTACAACACGTATCCCTTGAACTTGTTGGAATTCAATTTTATGGACTTGGCCAAGCGGCAGGACTGAATGTTTTAAGTACACAAAGACATGTACTTCTTGGACGGCGTAGCCCATAAATGTAATCCATCTGCTTCATTCAGTCCCCAGCAGAGGGAAAAGGGACCACTCTACCTGTGGGGGAGCAGGGGCCGGGTGAACCCTGTGGGCATGCCTTACAGATGGTATACAGAATTTCTTGGAGGTAGCTGTCACCACAGGGGTTTTAGACTCTAACCAGGCACAAGGTGTGATTCTTCTTTTAGATTATCAGGTTCTGAGGGCAGGGCTGAGCCTGGCGAGTATGTGTGTACATTTCTCTCTTCTCTCTCTCTCGGCTAATTCTAATAATTATACGGAATATTGCAGAGCTACTGAATTAGCTGCTCTTTTACGCCCCTTCCATTCCTGACTTTTACACTCCTACGGTCCCTTACACCCCACTCCCCACCTTCAGGTTGCCTCCAGCTCTAGAGTTCTAAGTCTGGGCTCTGTGGTTGAGGCTGTTTCTTTAACCATTAGATGTATTAACCTTCCCCTTGTCTGATCCTAGTTTTCCCATATGCAAAGTTTTATGGCATGATGATCAGTTCCATCAATAACAGGACATATAGCAGTTTTCTAAGGATACAGAACTGAGATTAAAAGATAACCTTTAAATCACCAAAGCAACTCTTTATGAAATCTAAGTGCCAAGCATTTTGCTTACTACTTCATATTCTGTAAAATTGAAAATGGCACACAATGACAAAGTTTCAGTGAATCTTACTATGGTAAGATTTACCATTTTTATATACTATTAAGAAAAACAGGTGCAAATTTTAATTCTAAGGCTCTGCCCCTGAAAGACTGTGTAGGAAGATAGGTTTGATCAGTGGTTATTAAGCATTAGTGCACATCAGTCACCCTGGAGTGTTTTGTAAAAAAAAACTGCTGAGCTCCAATTCCAGATTTTCTGGTGCAGTAAGTCTGGGTTGGAGTCTGAACATTTGCATTTGTGACACTTTCCTAGGTGTCCAACTTGAGGACCACTGGTGTAGTTGAAATACACTCTGAAGTGTTGACTTGTGTCAGGAGTTGTGCTTTCCAGTAAAGTAGCCAGTAGTTACATGTGTCTATTTAATTAAAAATAAACAAAACAAAAACTTTAGTTCTTCAGTGGCACCAGAAACATTTCAGATGTTAAATAGCCACATGTGGCTTGTGGCTACTGCATCAAACGGGACAGATATGGAATACTTCCATCACTGCATAATGTTTCATTGGAGAGTGCTTACTGCTCTGGACTCTCCACTCAAAGTGTGGCCTGTGGACCAGCAATACTGGCATCACTTGAGGGCTTATCAGAAATATAGATTCTCAGTTCCTCCTCCATTCTGAATCAGAATCTATGTTTTCACAAGCTCCCCTGATGATTCCAACGAGTAGTACAATTTGAGAAACTCTATTGCAAGTTGTGTGTACACACACACACACACACCACTCTAAAATCATTGAACCCTCACAACCGCCAATGAACAGTTTTCTCATTATATCCATATAACAGAGGAGCTAACCGAGCTTGGAGAGGTTGAATGAGTCTTCCAACACCTGACAGCGGTGTGGCTGGAACTCAGCCGAGGTCTGTCTGAATCCAAAGCCCATACTCAACCATATGCCCAGTGGAGGTAAACAGAGAGCCAGGGCCAGGGCCGGCTTGGCCTCCTGCAGTTTCTCCTTCCCCTGACTCTGTGCCCTACCTGCAGAGGAGGGCATCAGCGCTGGGACCGAACTGCGGAGCCTCTGCGAATGCGAGAGCCTCGTGGAGTTCCAGGGCCGCACGCTGGGGGCGCTCGAGAGCCTGACGCAGAATCATATCCTTTGGGGCCGGAGGCGTGGGCTGGAAGGAAGGTGAAGGGACCCAGCAACCCCGAAGGCTTCCTTAACCGCTCACTGGCCCAGTTGACAGCGCGCTTGGAGGATCTGGAGAATCAACTGGCCAACAAGAAGTGACGGCCGCTGGTGGCCTGGGCCGGGCTGGGGCGCGGCCTTGCGGACCGTGCTCCTAGCGCGCCGTCGGGGCGCCCGCGCCGGGCCGAATCCGGACCCCTTGGGCGGGGACCGTCCGTAGGAGGCGCTGGCGGGCTCCCAGCGCTGTGCCCGAGCTGGCCTCGCCTGGACCAGAAGCCAGACTTTGGGGGCCAGGGGGTGGCGGGAGGTGAGGGGGAGCTGAGCGTGCTAAACCGCATGCCCTCAACCGTGTGCTGCGCTCAGTTCTTTGTTGTATTTCTTTTTTATTTTCTTTTTCTTAAAAAAACAAAGCTGGTTTCCACGGGGGTCGGTTTGTGGGCCTTGTTGTGCCGCCAGGAGGAGGGGAGGCCAGACGGAGCACGGCGCCCGGGTGGCGTCATCCTTGGAGAAAGGCGCATTGTGCGGGGGTCGGGCTGGGCGGCAGGGGACCCGGCTCTACTTCCCTCTACTTGTTTATTCAGCCCAGAACAGATGGCTCCTTATGCAGGATGCGGGAAGGGAAGGGGCTCAATGGCAACCGCTGGGGTCTGAGCAAGTCTGCACCCCCTCCCAACACGGCCTTAACGCAGCACTCTGGCCTGTGCCTATCTCCAGGTGCTTCCAAATCTGGCTTAAAGTCCAGGACTGGCGGGGGGGGCGGGGGGTTGGGGAGGAGGTGGGAGTCAGTCACTGAACCCTTAGATGGGCAGAGTGGGGACCCACAGATGGGTTTTACCTGGATTTTATCTCTCCCTTGCACTAGGTGAGAAGAGAAGGAGGTATCAGCTAAAAATCCTGGCCCCACCTGGGGCCCTCCCTTTGCCATTCCCTGCAAGAAAGGAAACAAAGCAAGCCCCTCCATCAGTAACGAACACAAACTGGTACCATTTTGAGCAGCAGTTTAAACTTCGAGGTTTAAAGTGCTCCCAGCTCTAGAGTGATTTTACCCTGGACACTTTGTTTTCTCCTTAGTAAAGTGGGAATTGAAATTGTTATCCCACCAAAGGTGATGAGACTCCAGGAAATTCCTCTAAGACGTTGACCCTGGGTCTGGAACATATCAGGCCTTTAATGAGAGCTAGCTATTAATTATACCTATAGTAGTAGCTAATAGCACAGTTAGTCTTGGGCACATTTCAATGGGTTTCCAGGTATTTTTATTTTATGCTCACAATGACCTTGTGGGATAAGAATTATTGCCTTTGTCATTCCTACTTTACAGATGAGAAAGTTGAGGCATAAGGAGGCTATTTCCCAAAGCCACATAACTAGGAAGAAGCTGAACCAGGATGTGTCTGTTTCCTATGGCTGCTGTAAAAAATCACCTCAAACAGAGGGGCTTAAAGCAACAAATCGCTGCCTTACAGTTCTGGAGGTCAGAAGTCTGATGGGTTGGCAGGGAGGGCGACACTGCTTCTGGAGGTGTGGGTTTCGAATTCCTTGGCTCATGGCCCCACACCCCTTTGACCTCTGCTTCCATCATCACGCTCCCTTCTCTGACTCTGGCGGCCTGTCTTAGGAGGTCCATCCTGGTAAATTACAGGTGACCCCCCTTAGAGCTCTTTAGTATGTAAGAGCACATATTTAATCGCAGGGTCCTGGGAGTAGGACGTGGACATCTTTGGGGGGGCATGATTCTGCCTCCCCCCAGGGATGAAGCCAGGCTGACTGACTCCAGAGCAGGTGCTTTGGAGCACTCTGTGCCTGGTCCAGTGCATTCTGGGTGAAGAGGGAGACACATGGTTGAGAAAAGCCCTTGGGCTGGAGGACTCAGGGCTGAAGGGGATGAAGTCCAGCTGACTACAGCTATAGCAGGAAGAGGGGGCTCCGGATGAGCAATGGGCAGGTGAGGAGGGAGACACCTCGGGGGAGGTGACCTTTGGGCCACACCTTAAATGATGACTGGAATTCCACAGGTAGCCATGGAAGATTTTCCAGGTGCATGAAGCATGAATGTGTGTGGTCAGAAGTGACTGGAGTATGGGAGAGGAGGGTGATCGAACTCTTACCTGGCCATGAGGATTGGATGAGCTGGCACCCTGTGGACAGCACCTGATGAGACCTCACCCTGCCCAATTCTTTCTTTTTCTTTTCCTTTTTTTATCTTTTTCTTTTGTGGTGCTGGGGATTGAAGCCAGGGCTTCGTACATGCGAGATAAGCACTCTACCACCCAGCCTCATGTCCAACTCTGCGTATTTTATTTTGAGACAGGGTCTTGCTAAGTTGCCCAAGCTGCTCTTGGACTTGTGAACCTACTTCCTCAGGCTTCAGAGTAGCTGGGATCACAGGTGCACAACACCACACCTGGCTCCAACCCCTTCAGTTTACAGCTGGGGAAACTGAGTCCTAGAGGACAGAGTCAGCGGCTGGAGCATGGCGGGGGCTGGAGCTGAGCAGGGCTCACGGAGGAGGCCAAAGCAGGGCTCCTCCCTTCCCTGCTCCCTGCTGCCACTGCTCCGCCTTTTCAGGTTTCTTTTCTCACCTGCCCTGTTCTCCTGCAATCTCCCTAGTGGCCGCTGGATGGTGCCTGGAGCTCTGACTTGGAGCTGGATCCCTGAGCTCTAACAGGTCCTGAAGAACCTGTCCTTCTCCCTATGACCATCTTCTACCTGTACACCAAAGGTTTAGAATAACAAGGATATCAGTGGGCCAGGGCAGAAGTTGCAGGGCATTCTGGGATGGAGGGTAGGCCTGGGGAAGCCTGCTTGGTTCCCTCATGCTAAGACTTTTCCCCCAAATCCCTGCCTATCCTCCCAGTTACTGGTCTTTGTCATCTCACTGCAGAATGGGAAACAACCTCACGTAGACCTTGGATACCTTGCAGGACCAGTCATCTGTGTGTCCCTCTCCTAGGGTACTTGCACTTCAAAAGTAGCCAGGAAAGAAGCAAGCAAGGTAGATCAAAGGGAGCACTGGTCATGGTGGGTTTTAGGCAGCTGAGGCCACGTACAGGGAGAGGTATGGGCTCCTTACATGACCTCAAGGCAACACTGTGAGGTTAGTGCCATCACTTTCATTCAGCCAGCTCCCGGATGTCCAGGCCTCCTCCCACTTGATCAGAGTTGTCAGAACTGGGAAGAGTGTTTGAGGAAAAAATGGAGGTCTTCACTTGACACCAGCTGCCTACAGGCTGAGCTTCTGGGAGAAGAGAGAGGAGTTGGGGAAGGACTGGCATGAGTGCACTCTCCACTCAGCCGCATTCCAGGAGGGCAGGGCGGAGACAGTGGGTGTGTGAGCTGAGGAACAATAACGAGGATAATGATGCTTACAGTCACGGTGACTAGTGTTTGGGGCAGTGCACAAGGTGATTTCCCATCATTTATAGCGGAGCCACACAACCACCCTGGGAGGAAGACAAGGCCACGTGGCTACGGCTCTTTCACAGAAGGGAAAATTCAGGGCCACAGAGGGATTGTGATTCACTCAAGTTTACATGTCGATATACTCCCGGTGCTGGATGGGACCCACCTCCTGGATCCCAGCTCAGGGACTTGCTGCCTCATATGGGCCACAGATGTGGCTGGGCACAGAATGGGGCCTTTAGCGGGACTGAAGCTCAGCCACGCTCCTTCCCCAGCCTCAAGTTGGCTGCCAGGCAAAGGGTTTGGACTGGAGGTTTGGGATGTCAGAGGACAGGGAGGCTTGTTGGAGTGGGGGGATCAGCTGTGTGTCCTCCAGGCTTCCTTGGCCCATCATGCTGCATGACCTGTGGCTGCTGCCACCCCAGGAGCCCATTCCATGGCTCCTTCCCGCTATTGTGTGTGTGTGTGCACGCGCGCGCACGCCCATCTCTCCGGACAAAGGCCCTCTCCCTTGCTGGTTCCTGTACACTCCCTTCTTCCTAATCAGCCTCAAGCTGTGCAGCCCCTCTGCTCAGACCTCTGAAACAGACCTCCCTGGTGAGCACCCACCTGTGCCTGCTCCGCACAGGAGCTCTTGGCTCCGTTTCCATCTGAGCCACACTTGGACCCTTCCAGGTGCAGCTCATGTTCCCTGGTACCTTCCCCTCTCTGTTTTTGAAATGAGTTGTGGCTCAGGGTTGAAGCTGCTTTCTGGATGCCACAAGGAAGGAGTGCTGTGACTTTCAGAGAGGGAAGCAGAACTATGTCACCTTAATTTGCCATCTTTAACCAGACGTTCTCATATTATTATTTTAAAATAAAAAGTCACTAGCTAGAATGTGGTCATGTTGCTGTGGACGGGGACTGCACCTGGGCCCTGGGTATTGGGGCCAAGTGCAACACAACACCTAATGCATACCATCCTTCTGTCATGTTTAATTTAAATATTTGTATCAAATATGGAAACCACAAAGTTGATCAGAAGAGTAGAAAGTAAAAACAGACATCAAGCAAACAGCACCTTTTACAGTGTGAGTGAATCAAAAGAGGCCCATGAGTTATTGGAAAGAATTCTGATGACAACAGTATTCAATAGAAACTAGATCAAGACCCTAGTCACATTCCCCAACAGAAACAGAGGGTGTCACATCTGTTCCAAAGTTGCCTGTTGGAGGAGAGCAGGGGAGCTGAGATCTCTTTGTTCCCACTGTAATGTCTTCAGCTTTGCAACCCAGAAAGGAGTGTTCTTGAAATAGTAAAAATAAAATCAGTAATTAGCATGAAGTCTCATCTGCTTTTCCTCAACCCAAGATAGCAGATAATATTGATTATGCATCACATCAGCCATTCTACTAAGACATTTTATAAGAGGAATAAGCATCTTTTAAAACAATGGATACCCACTTCCATATTACTTTCTAAGAATGTGTATGTGTGCATGTTTCACCAATATGTACTTTAAGTAATTTCAAGGATGCAATGACTAACCTAGTAAGAGTCAAGGTTTCAGGACCAGGCCCAGGTAAATTTGAGTCCCATCTCTGCCACTTTCTAGCAGTATGATGTTGGAAAAATCCCTTTCAATCTCCCTGAGTCTCCATTTCCTTAACTGTAAAATAAGTTAAGGAACACCTCTGTTTATAAAGCTCAACCCCAAAGGGATTAAATTACAGCATATAATTTACTACCTTATTCAGAGGGCAGTGGCAACAGCAGAGGTAACAACAACAAACACTTGTGTGGCTGCTGTGTAGGGGTCCTTGCTCATGGCCTTGGTTAATCCTCAGAACTGGCTCAGGAAGTTGGTGGTGTTATGTTCCCCATTGAACATCCACAAAGGGGTGAAGTTAAGACTTCAGTAAATGGAGGCAGAATAGGAGGGAAGAGGCTGGGGACTTGTAAGATCTTAAAGAGGGATTTCCTGGGATCTGGCAATGGGGAAAGAGTCAAGG